AAAACATCTTTATCTTGCTGAGGCAAGATTTATCTTGCAGATTTGACGTGGCTCAACAATTGTTGAAGTCATTTGCTCAACTTCATCCTCACGTGTAATTACACCATTCAAGAAAATTAACCACCACTAGCTGCCTTTCCATTCATAACATGGGTAAGTCAACGAGGGTATTTAGGGAATTTCGAAGGACACAAAACCCTAGAAATTCCCATTATAAATACCTCATTATAGCCACCCAGAAAGAAATGAGAATGAAGGAGAGGATTTACCCTAGGCATGGAGTAAGCAACTGAAGCACCTTATTTTCCACCATTCCCCACTCGACCGTCCTTAGTGTCCTCCATAGCCGGACTTCATCGGAGCAGCTGCTAGGCCCTCGAGAGAGGCTGACCGCTGGAATAGGCATGGTGGTGGTTAGATTATCACGATAGAGCTATGTTTGGGAGTGTTTATTCCTATGTTCATAATTTTTGATTCACTTAAAAGGTCTTGTACTTAAAGATTAACTCTTGGATGATATTTGACACACCATGAACTGCTTTACTTGGTGTTGGTTATGGTTTTGATGAAACTTTTTTATGATGTTTTTGAATGAAGAAGTTTGTTTATGCTTAATATTGTCTTGTTCATCGTTTTAATATTTTGCCTTGACATTGTAAGAGCTTTTGAGAGATTTCCTGGTGCCTAGACAAAACATTCCTAGACTTTGTAAGAGCTTTCGAGAGATTACCATTCTTCTAGTAATAGATGCCTAATATCGAGAGAGTTAGGGAAGATATACGTGAACAATGCGACTGATCCGAGATGGTGAGGTTCTAATCTGCCTTAGAGATAAGGAGAAGGTTTCATTCGACTAAAAGGGGTTGTTACTTGAGTACGATAGGCAACGATTGTAGTTTACGTTGAGGGGTATCGCCGCAACAACAGTTTGAAAAACCAAGGGTTGTAGTTCACGCCGAGTAGTATTACTATAGCAACCATTCTTGAATACTCCAGTAATCCTGTCGGGCAACTTAAATATAGCACACTGATTCATTCTAGATGTAGGATAATTTTTCATCTTAGAAAAACCAACCTAAATGCACCGTAAAGAAGTTTACCTGTGTGAGGTTTCTCTGAATATATTGAACCCAACACTTTTAATTGCTTTAATAATTTTGATTCTTTTACTTTTGCAATTTTTCCTTGCCTCGACTAAACTTTTTTGCACACCATACTTCACAATATTTCTTGCGTAGACAATACTTTTGTATTCATGTATTTCTATTAGTATTATTTGTTTTTGTTTCGACAATAATTTTAGGACTAGCTGGTGATACCTAGTTCTAGCTATAGCAAAACATCAATAATTCCCACCAATCCTTGAGGAGACGATAACTCTACTTACTACTATTACTTGCATCGATTGTGTACACTTACACAAATTTTCTTACCTTAGCATATACATTCACAAGCGATCAGCGTTGTTGCCACGTTGAAGACCCAAAAACACTCATATGTCTGTGAATGCTTCTGAACCATGTAAAGGCTTTCATGCATACACACTGTGTCTTGCATGGGGTAGCAATAATGTTGCAACTATTGCAAAAGTAATGGTGGGAGGGAGGGACGGTTGGGGGTTGAGTTTTATATATATATATATATATATAAGGTGGTGTAGGGAGAGAGAGTTACACCGGAAGTAAAAGAAAGAAGGGGAGAAGAAAGAAGAGAAAAGAGGAAGAAAGAAAAAAAAAGAAAAAAAAAGAAGAAAAAGAAGAGAATAATATTAAAGTCGGTTTGTGCTACATTATTCGACAAATTTAACCTATTTAGTTTTCTTTTTTAAAATCTATATTATTTATAAAATAAGATTAATACTGTAGATGATAAATTTTAATTTGGTCGATTTATTAAAGTGATTATTTAATTAATTAATGTTGTTGAGTTCAAATGGAATTTAGTTTAAAAAATAAATTATCTTGAATTTAACTTAAAAATATAATATGTTAGGTTTAAAGGAGAAGATGAGCAACAAGGTAATTTTTCGTTGTTATTGTTGTTTTTTACGAATTTTTACTTCTTTAAATTAAATTAGTTACTTAGTAGATTATTTTTTGATTAAATTAATGTTTATATTAAATGTAATCTTTAAATTGAATTTGTTATAATATTTTATAATATAATAATAATAATATATACTTTAATTTAATTTAATTTAATCGTATGTTTTTCTTTTTTTATAAGTTTATAAGTTGGCATGCCTAATGAATAAATTTTTGGATGCCTAATTTTATAATATAAATATAAAATTATATATATTTATTTATAATTTTAAAATTTTGTGTCTAATTATTTTTTATAAATGTTAATTTTACAGTTTAATTGGAGACCATACATGGAGCCAGAAGTTTTAGCGCGTGTGACGCCAGAGCTTTTGGAGGGTTGTCAAAATTAGGGTGTTGTTACACCATTGATTCATTTTGCTATTGTTGAGATACTATTTGTGTATCGAGTACTGAGAAAGTTCGAGTGCCACCAACTTATTCCGCCCATTCCAATGGATCATTACCCCTTGCACATATTAGATGGACGGGGTAAGCACAACGTAAATTGGGTTGTGAAGCACACGAACTACATTAATGCATAGAACAACAGAGCTTCATACGTGCCACCTCTTGATCCAATGCAAGATGATCAATTTAATTTTGTGACTTCGACTTAACTTCAATATTATTAGGATCATGGAAAATCGTACCCGACGACTTTGGGAGAAAGGAAACATTTTAAAAAATATAAGAAAAAATTTGGTATAACCGTAAATTTATACCAAGTGGAAGTGGGAGCTCATCTCAACAACATGAAGTGGAAGCATCCCAACTGTTTGATTATTCTTCTGTTCCAGCATACATGCTAGAATTGATGCATCCTCATGCACCCATCAACTCTCCCATGTTTGAATCGACGTCCACAACACCCGCCTCGACATTATCATTCCACAACACCCCGACATCGAAAAGAATTATAAACTCAATTGTTATTTGTATAAAAATTAATAGTAAATAAAATGTTATTATATGTTAAAATTAAATACTTAAATTATATTAGTATTTTATTTTGCAAACATAAGTAAATATTTTTTTGGAAATTTTAGCCTTAACTTAAATATTTAAAATATATATTTTCAACTTAAACACACAAAATTATTATATTAAAAAATGCAGAAATTATTATAAAATAAAGTTAATTACTATATATAAATTATTATAAAATCAAGTTAATTATTATAAAATCAAATATATACATAAATTATTATAAAATCAAGTTAATTATTATAAAATTAAATCAATTATATACATATACATGAATTATTATAAAATCAAGTTAGTTATTATAAAAAATTCAAATGTATGTGTACATACAAATACATATATGATTACTGATGAGACCTATGTCTTGGTAGATTTGGACATTTCTTTTTGAATAACATTCACCCCTACATAATATGCATCTCTTTGGTTGAGCTTTCTCTCTAGTATGGAAATCCATACTGGTATGAATACGAATGAACTCAAGTCGACCCTTTGGACTTCTATGAAACATTGGATTTGGCAGCCATTCGTCATGATCCTTGTCAGGCCAATATGATTCATTTGGGATATGTTTGAACGCATAGTTATAGACATTTAATATCCTATGTAGGTGAAAGCACTCATCAACATAACTATGTACGCTTACACCAGCATACATACATGCAGCGACTGCATGAGCACATGGATATCTCTATTCCTGAAAGCGACCAAGATCACACCATTTGTGTCGTAAATCAGCTTTAAATGTTTGGCCTTCTCCTCCTTTGTTGCGGCGTATGCATTACACAACAAAAGTATGACCAACTTGGTCGAAATTATGAATAAGCAATGAGGTTGCTAATCGCTAATTCGCTTCCATTGCTTCCACCACTATAGGAGCCCAAGTTTAACCTTCATTTATGAGACACTTGTATACCCATCGAAATCAATATCCATTTGCTCTAAAAGAATCTATACTGATATAAAAATTCAATGATATAAGATTCATTCTTCAATTATTTTTTTAGAATTTCTGGTGATTTTCTAAACTTTCTGTTCAAAACATAATGTCTGAGCACATTTCACCAACTTGTATCCTTAACTTATTCACTAAATCTATAAGCTTACCAATTGAACATATAGGCTTGAGGTACACTCCTCATGCACTAGGAGTCACTTCTTAACGTAACTCTGACACTGGCTCATCGCAAGCCAATATTTGTTTCGATAACATAAATGCACTCACCTGGTCTCCTTAGCTTGCAATCTTCCTTAGAATTTCCCATTTCATCCTTAAGCTTCTCCTTAGCTTTCATAATATTTGATTTTGATTTCAAGCACTCAATCTAAATGAACAGCATTACCAAACATATACAAATTCAAACCAAATGTTGGAATCTTACTAACATAGGCATACACTACTAGAAAAAACCCCTTTAATGACGCGCATTGTGGGTCATCTATGGGTGCAGATGACACACAAATGCGCGTCATTGAAGCCACCATCATAAATCTCAGATGACACGTAATTGTGTGTCATAAATCTATGACGTGCATTTATGACACGCATTGCGCGTCATTGAAGCCTCGTCATAAATGAAGATGACATATTTGTGTATCATAAGTTTATGACTTACATTGCATGTCATTGAAACACACGTCATTAAAAAAGATGACACATTTGTGTGTCGTGATTGTATGTCATAAATTTTATATATATATATATATATATATATTATAGATTGACAAATAATCAAACTAAATCACATTTAATGCCTCATAATACTAAATATATATATATATCATATTATATATAAGCAATCCATTTGCATACAATATATTAACATTAAGTTATAAAAAATATTGTAATCATATGTTAATACAAAATATGATTGTATAATAAAGTTTTCCACATAAGATACCCATTCTTTGTGAATATCATCAATGTCATCATCCGTGTATTCTTCCTTCGCATCGCTAACCTAAGTAAAAAATATGAAATAAGTATATAATTTACTTATTTAAAGTGAAGTATATAACTATCAAAGAGTACTAAAATGACCAATTTTACATTTTTATTCTTTGAAGCATATGAAAAAATAAATTTTACACATTTAATTAGTAAAACTTCCCATATAAATTATATACATTATCATGGCATGAATTCACAGTTTTCAGTCTTGCTAACAAGTACTTGCATTAATTTGTTTAGAATAGCATCCTACTTCAAGTCCATATGATAGTTGTATGACTAATGTGTATGTATGATATGACAAATGTGTATCAGAAAAGTTTGCTTACATTCTTATTAACCATCACTTCAAGTCCATTCTCGACTATCTCTTTCATGAACTTACAAGCATAATATCCACACTCGGTACCTCCCGACTGACAGGGACACTACAAACAGTTTACAATAAACGATTAGTCAAAATGAAACTACAATTTAAACAAGGAATGATCGAAGTCCTCACCAAAACATTGATCCAATTGAGGCTAACCTTTTTGTTAGATCCACTTTGAGTAGTGTACAATATCATTGCCCTATAAAAATTAATGAAATATATCAAAGAATATACTATAATGTTTCGATAATTTATGTTACTTACGCATCAATAATCTACTTCAACTACTGATGGACATTGTGGGCCCCAAGGAATCAAGATAATAACAACTTGTTGCTTTCATATCTATCACCGCCAACACCTAATGTCTTCTATAAAAACCAAAAACCAAATTAAGTTACTAAAATATATTGATAATCAAATGAAAAAACAAACTCGGGATTATATGGCACTAGGACGATGTCACTGTCCTTTCTTAGAGACAATCGATCTGCAATGCTTCGACTTGCCTCATCGCTATTTTTGAATTTTGCCTTACGTCCTGATGGCGAGATTGCAGACGGGCTCACAAAGCAAATTCCATGATCTCTTTTTGTCCCATTCTTGATTTCCTCAAACAAGTACCTATATATTAACATACAAAAACTAAAATGATTAAATATATTGTGTTTTACTAAAATTAAAATTAAGCACTTACATCATATAACAAGTAATCGCAGAACCGATTATCTCATCCACGGTAAAAACCACTTCAAAATCTTCCAAAGTTATGTACATGAAACTCTCGTACCCAAACATATCGTCCTCACATTACACTTTCACGGACTCCACATTTTTAAGTTGTATATCAACCATACGTGCGAACACTTTCAAAACACGGTTGCTTTCAACTCTTAGCCTTGTCCTCATTTATGCTCTCGTCCTCCTCCTTTGGGATGTCCCTCCTCCTTTTCTTTCTTTTTTTCCCTCTTCAGTGTCCCTTCTCCTTTCTCCTATTCCTTTTTCCTTTGCGGTGTCCCTTCTCCTTTCCCCTCTTCCTTTTCTTTCTTTTTTCCGTCTTCGGTGTCCCTTCTCCTTTCTCCTCTTCCTTTTCAACAAGTTCTCTTTGCCCTTTTTTTCCTTTCTTACTATCTACTTCATCTCCGTTCACACGTTTTTTCCCAACAATGCCAACACTTTTTCCTAATCAATGCCAACACTTTTTCCTACAATAAAATATAAAGAAATCATTTAAATTAGACCTATATAATTTCTTTAAATAAATGAAAATATTATCAAATTAGAGCATCGAATGACTAGATGTCTAGGCCACTTCACTAGGTACCCCACTGCATCTTTAACCTTGTAAATGAACTCCTCATCTAGTGGAAACGGTAGTAAAGCGTGAACTGATGACACACAAGCAAGTAAAATATTTGTTCAGCTACTAACAAAGTAACTTAAAGATCACAAGCAAGAAATAGACTTTAATTTGGATCTTAAAGTTCCACATGTTACAGAAAGAACTCACCTAGCAGCACCTTCTACACGTAAAAAGAATACAAGTAATAAAAAATAACCAAGCTACACAAGTCATCCCTTTGTCCTGCATTACATGAGCCATCTTACAGAAATAAGTGATACCTTTATAACAAGATTGTTGGCAATAATCCCAATGAGAAGAGGTCCAGCAAACGGAAGAATCCATGTGGCAAATATTATGCATCGAAACATCCAACCAAATAATGCAAACCAAAGGAAGAAAATTGTCTGCGAACAAATAAAATAAATTCTATTATCCTGAAAGAAATAAGCTAGCAAACCCAAACAAAAATGTATTTAGGTTCTAGCACTTCCCATAAAAATAAAAAAATAAAAATCCAAAGGATTTCGACTAATTTTCTCTGCGTTGAAGAAAAACATCTTGGAAAGATTAAATTCCAATGCAAAAGATATTGATGAATGAGTCATAAGCATTGGGGCTATAGCCAATTACTTTAATATAAGACCACTACACAAACTGATAGAGAGCTGATACGACATGAAAGATAACATAATACTCACCCTTAAACATAGGCCCAACATATAGAACAGATATAAAATAATAGGCCTATCAAATGAACCCCCAAAATGAAAGCAACAAGGAATTTTGGCATATGAAAATTTCAGTCAAATCCAACTTGAAATAGGTTTTGAAGCTTAACTGTGGTGCAGGTAGGTATAAACACCAAAGACTAGTGATGTCGAATATTACTTAACCTCCGTAAATGTCCCATCCTTTTTTTAATTAGTTAAAGACAAGATATTGGATATTTGCAAGTTAAACTATAGGTCTCGAGTTTTGAACTTCACCAATTATTTAACATTTAACAACCACCACCTGCAGCAACCAATGTTAATAACCTCTTTCACATTATAATTGTTATTAAACCAGATAAACAGAACAAACATGTAACAGGGGATGCATGAACACAAGTTATTGTCATCATCTATATTACTAGGACCCCAGGGTGCATGCCCAAGACAGGCATGTGTCTCATGCGGGTACGGTCGGGTTTTGTAAGTTTTTCATGTATTTGGAGGATTCTTGAAGGTTATATCCCCTTATCTCTGTATCAGAAATGGGTACTTCAAGAAAAATTAAGAGTCCAACCAACACATACAGATAAAGCATTCGCTAGCTTTGTCTAATTCTTTACTCTTCTTCTTTGATTTCCTTCTTTCAAAAGTCAATCGAGCATTTATTTAGAAGTCTAAATTGCAATATTTTTGAAAAACTAAGATTTAACTTTCATAGATAGTAAAACGCAAGAATTTACTTAGCATCGTAGAAAAGTAAACATTTAATCAATTAGAACATGTAGTATTTTACATCTTTTGCTGCATGAATTTTTTTTCCAGAATTAGCAACGCAATGTGATTGAAACTAGACCAAATGTTACTTACAGCAGAACTTCTACCCAGTGGAGTATCCAAGAAATCATTAAGCTACTTCCTTTACTGCAACCATATCAACAAACACCCCCCCCCAAAAAAAAATATGGTAAGTATATAAATTCCAAAAAAAAATTAAATTAGATTTGAAAAAAAACACAAACCCTAGGCCAATTTAAGCTAAAATCCATAGAAAAAGTCCGACAACGTAGTCCAATCTCGAACTCCCGGTCAATTTCACGAGCATGGTCCGTAGCCAATTGGACGGCTGAGGAGAGTTGGCGGGAAATGGAGTATTGGCGGTCTAATCGTTCAGCGGTCTTTTTAGCTTCGAAAACGAATTGCTCGAAGCCTTCGTTGGCGGTTCGCCAGGCGTCCTTCCAGGCCTCACCGGAGGCCATGCGGCGAGTGAAGGTGTCAAAGTCGCTCCTCTTGAAGGATTGGACTAATAAGGGGCACCGACGCTGAAGGATACGAGGTTGCGATTGAATCTTTATTGTGTGCCATGACGTAGATGGCAGAGTTGTGGCCATAACTCAGAATGTGAAATGATGATTATGCAGTTTTTCTCGCATTTTAACTATTTAGGATTGGTTACGAATCCATTTTCTTTTTCTTTTTAAAAAAATAAGGAAATTTGTGTAAACAACAATAATCTAATCTAATGTAAAAAATATATAGAAATAAAGGATACTGAAAATGTGATAAAAAATTAAAAGTTTAAAGAAAGATAACTTAATTTAATGTTAAAAATAATAGAAATAAAGATGATCCTAAATGTGATAAAAGGGAAACATTGGTTTAGTGTGAATTGATGATCGAGGAGGACTAGAAGCGGGAAAGCATGCGTACGTGATGAAAATTATGGGAGAAATTAAAAGACGACTTTTAGAGATGACACACAATAAAAAATGTACTCCGTGTGTTTGCTAAATTTTTTGGATTATGGCTATTAAATATGACACATATTATTGTAAATCATAAATCGTTCAGATTTTAAGAAACATGACATTTTTTTATGACACATTTTTTGCAAGTCATAAATTAGTGTGTGTCATCGTTCGTGTGTTATTAAAGGTATATTTTCTTGTAGTGATACTTTGAAAAATAAATTCCTAACAAAATTGTTCGATGCTCATTCTATATAATTTCCATATCACAACATAAATGTTGACCTAAATACTTATAATTGGCCACTCAAGTTTCTTTTTATCCCAAATTCACATAACATTTTCACTTAAGCTCCCAAGCTTTCCATATTTTTGATTTAAACATCAACTTTTACAAGCTTTCCAAATTAATCCAATTTCACATCCTAACTTCAATTCCAACACTCAAAATTAATTTCCAGCATAGTACATCAACTATTGAACAATTACACAATAATCCAAAACTTTTCCAAAATTAGATTTGGTCCCCTAACTTTTTAAAAATTACAAAATGGTCCCCAAATTTTCTAAGGCTTGTAGAATACTTCGTACATAATTTTCATCCCCTACATAATTTTTCCATAATTTTTCTCATCCTCTATAGTCAAGTTTGAATGCTTTGTATGTTCAAAATTAGGGTTTTCATGATTTTAATCGATTTTTATTCGATTCAAGCATGAAATCAACTTTGATTCAACCTTATAAAATCTCTACAATCAAATCCCCAACTTAAATTCATCAAAACACATCTTTCCCTTAAAGCTAGGGTTTGGCGGAAACTTTATTTGTTCATATAACCATGTACCAGTGATTTTAATCATCAATCATGCTTGTAAATGGTTCTACAACCACCAAAACGTCAAAACCCTTATCAAATCCATAAACCCTAATATGAACATAAACCCTATCATTTCATATCTTTGAATACAAACCAAATTAGCAAGTAATAATGGTACCAAATGATAGCGTTTTTTAATATAACAATTTTCTATTTCACAACATGATCCAAAACCAAAGGAAATTGCTAAAAAAATGGAAAATAAAGTTTCTCTTACATTGGTTTGAAGGAGCACGAAATGTTGGCTGAAAAATGGATTGGTTTCATTAAATTTTGTTTAATTTCATGTTAATTTAGCCTTTATTTAAGCTTAAATGAATAAAATATTCATTTAAGGATAAATGTCCATTTTACCCTTAATGAAACTTGATATTTACCCTAATACCAACCCACATAAACCTTATCATCTTCCAAAGTCAAATATGGACAAAATATTTTATCCTTTACAACTTTGCCCATGCCATTTTCCAAAAATTTCAATCTTGCCATTTTTCCTCCAACGGTCCAAATTGAACATGGAAATAAATTCTCAAATCCAACGCTCCATATTATTTTCCATCATTCTAAAATGTGGAAATAATATTTTTAATCCTAATTTATCATCCTTCAAAGTTTGTAAAAATTTCTATTTGATTCGATTTACCGAATTTTTACCGGACTTTAACACTTTCTAGTTTTTAACACAATTTCCAGATCAAGAATCTGATTTCAATAAAAACCCACTTTCAAGAGTAAAATATCCATTTATGGAATAAAAATTCTTTTTGAAAAAATTAACACTTAGGTCCTTGAATTTTTCCCAATTTTATAGCCATGAAAATTTCAAAAATTATATTTTAGTCACTAAAAGTCCACTGTTTGGTCAAATCTGAAAAATTACATTGTTATGAGCCAAATTTTTCTGATCTAAAATATATAAATAATATTTTCAGCCATTTTATTACATCCTTCAAATTTTCATAAAATTCTGGTTTGATCTGATTATCTGATTTCAATACCAAACTTTATCGCTTTATAGTTTTTAACACAAATCACGTACCGAAAATTTGATTCCCACAAAAAATTCTTTTTTTAGGTCAAACTGTTTATTTACGAGCTAAAATCTATAACTTTTCAAAATTATATTTTTGGTCTCTAAACTTTTACAAAGTTTATACTTTAGCCCTCAAACTTTCAAAACTTACATTTTAGTCACTAGTCAAAATTTAGGGTTTTATAATTCCTCCCCTTAAAGAAAATTCTTCCTTTAATTTTCTATTCGTATCTTCATACTTGAAGTAAAGCGTTAAGGATACTGTCTTTTCGTGTGTTTGCCTCGTTCCCAAGTCGCTTCCTCAACTTTATTATTTAACTAAAGAAATTTAACCAGTGAAATCGTCTTATTTCTCAGTTCTTTGTCTCCATACACTAAAATATTTGCTGGTTTCTCTTCATATAACAAATATGTCTGAATCTCGATTTTCTCTGTGTAATCAATCACATGTAAAGTATTCAATCTATATTTTCGAAGCAGCGATACATGAAACACATTATAAATCTTATCCATTTCCAGAAATAATGCTAAATGATGAATTACCGGACTAACTCTCTTCAGAATCTCATATAACTGATAAATCTCAGACTTTACTTTATTTTATGCTTAAATCTCATAATCTTTTTCTAAAGTAAAACTTTGAGAAATATTTTATCATCTCTTTGATATGTGATTTTCTTTCTTAGTTTTTCCTATTATTTTGGAATATCTTTAATCAAATCTAACAATATAGGTCTGAACAACAACTCTACAACAAGTACACCATCATTTTTCCTTGAAAATCAAGTATTTAAAGCTTTCAAAGCAAAGAAGATCTTTCAACTAAATGTTTCAACTACCATATTAACCTTCCCAAGATGATAATCAATAATCATCTATCTCTTTTATCTTAGATCCAATTCTTTCTGAATAAGCAAATACTTCAAACCTTTATAATCTGTTTAACTATAACATCGCTCACCATATAGATAGTTGTGCCATATTTTCCATGTAAACACCAAAGTTGTTAACTCTACATTCTAGGTTGAATAATTTCGTTCATACATATTTAGTTATCTCAATGTATAAACTATCACTTTACCTTCTTGCATCAAGACACATCTTAAACCATTAAGGAATGCATCATTGCAATTCATATACTCTTTACCTGATTCTGACTACGCTAAAACTGATGTTTCTGTCAATTTTCTTAAGTGTGTCAAAGTTTTCTTGTCTTTTTCAATCCAAACAATTGGTACATCATTTCTAAGCAACTTTGTAAACAAATAAGTAATCATCGAAAAATTCTTCACAAATCCCTGATAATCGCCAGTTAATGCCAATAAATTACGAACTTCGAATACATTCTTTGGGTTTTCCATTCTATTATAACTTGTACTTTCTTGGAATCTACTCAAATTCCCTCTGCTGAAATCACGGGGCCAAGGAAAAAACTTTTGACAACCAAATTTCGTATTTTGATAACTTAACATACAACTTTTGATGTCACGATGTTTGAAGTGAAAATGCGAAGATGTGGGTCATGCTCCTTTTTAATCATAGAATAAATCAAAATATCATCTATGAACACAAACACGAAGTAATCTATTTACAACTAGAACATTTGATTCATTAAATCTATAAATACTACTGGAACATTAATTGGTCTAGATGACATCACTACAAACTCATAATATTTATATATGGTTCTAAAAGTCATCTTCAAAATATCTTAATCTTTAATCCTTAACTAGTAATACTCTTAATGAAGATCAATCTTTGAAAATTCTGATGTACCTTTGAGTTGATCGAATAGATCATCGATTCTCGAAAGAATGTACTTATTTCTTTCTATCACTTTATTCAGCTGACGACAATCTATATATAGCCACATCTATTGTTTTTTTCCTTTTTCCAAAGAGTATCAGTATACCACATGGAGATACTTTCAGTCTGATAAAATTGCGGTCAAATAGCTCATATAGTTGTACCTTTAACTCTCTGACTTCTATTAAAGCTATCCGATATGGGACTATCAAAATGGGCACTGTACCCAAAAGATATAAAGTTTAAACTCCACTTCTTGATCAAGAGGTAATCCAGATAATTCATTAGGGTTACATCTAGAATTTCCCAAACTATTAGAATATCCTCTAATCTAACTTCGGCTATTTAGCTGTCAATTGGACTTACGATGATGATCTCAAATTCATCAAATGTAATTCCATTAGATTTGCTGGAAATATCATTCCTTGAATTTTATAAGTAAATTCCTACTTATTTGTTTTATTCTTATGATAAGACCCAACGTTTTCGTTCCTATAAATAAATTCTAAGTGAATGCATGTTTAAGGCAATTCTTTTATTAACACAACTTATTCATAAATTATCACTTGGAGTCATTCTTCATATACTTTCTCATTTCTATAATCTTTCTCCAATTGCCATGATAATGAAATCCTTCAAGTCCTTCAAATCAACAACTATTCTTTTTCAATTTCATTTTAGATCCTTTCAAAGAATAACATAATTACCATATGCTTCACTAAAACTTAACTTTCTTTCAACTTTAACAGACAATTTACTTACATGTAGACATTCCAAAATCATTGGTAATTTCAATAATCTCAGTGTATCTTTAATTTATTTATCTTACATACTTTTCAAACTTTCTGATAGTTTTCTCTAATCCATCTACCTCATTAAACACTGGGCATATCTCCTACATAATAGAGAAAAATCT